TCCCTTCAGGCTTGGTGGAGTCCCTTCAGGCTTGGTGGAGTCTCTCCAGGCTTGGTGGAGTTCCTCCAGGCTTGGTGGAGTCCCTCCAGGCTTGGTGGAGTCTCTCCAGGCTTGGTGGAGTCCCTCCAGGCTTGGTGGAGTCCCTCCAGGCTTGATGGAGTCCCTCCAGGCTTGGTGGAGTCCCTCCAGGCTTGGTGGAGTCCCTCCAGGCTTGGTGGAGTTCCTCCAGGCTTGGTGGAGTCCCTCCAGGCTTGGTGGAGTCCCTCCAGGTTTTGACCTCGGGTGGACTCTGAATGTTCAGTCTAGTCCAGTCCAATGTTTATCCTGGTCGGACACTAACTGCTCAAGCCTGTTGAAAGTCTGTTAAATGTTTAGCGTTGCCATACTCGCCAAATTTCCGGTGTCGCCATATTGGCCAAAAGGTTGGTGTTGAGATGGTGGTGAAGTGTGGACATGTAGACGACCCTCCCTCTCCTCCCCCCCCCCCCCGTATCCTCCCCAGAGCCAGCTGGTGCCTGGGAATATATGCTGGTGACACCCGCGTCTCGCTGTGAAGAGTGGCAACACAACTTGTGCCGACAAGATCATTTGGCTGAAAGGAAACATATTCAAGGTGCTGGGTGTTTGAGGCGCTCTCGTTTACTGTACCCTGGGAGCGTATTTACTGTACCCTGGGAGCGTGTTTACTGTACCCTGGGAGCGTGTTTACTGTACCCTGGGAGCGGGTTTACTGTACTAGGAGAGAGAGAGAGAAAGGGCATTTACACTCTGCTTGTACTCACATATACGTGTTTGTAAATGATTTTTCACTCGTAGCATGTTGGGAAAGGTACATTTCGTATGGCAGGAGGTGTACTCACAACACTAGAAAACAACAAACCAACGTTTCATTTAACATGCTCTGGTTTTCTGGCGAAATGTTATCGATTAAGTGATTTCCTGCGTCAGTAGACAGGCAGAGAATACGAGAGTAGCAGCTTCAAAAGGTCTTTTGTGACTCCTAGCCAGGCAGTTCCTGTTTATAACCAAACCAACCCACTCTTATATACGTCTATCCTACCCTTGGCACAGTGCCACGAGTGCCAGGTTAACTGGTAATCTGTAAAGTTAACAGGAAAGAGCAAATTATCCTTGGGTCATGGGCCAGAGTCTCGGATTTTTCCTTCAATTGAAATAATTTCCCAAGGGGATCTAATTGCAAGAGTCTAGTTAATTAGCGTTGGCAATTCTTGGTAGGATATCTTGACTCGGCTTTCATTGGGGAAGGATTTGGAGTGGCATCTCCCGCCGGTGTGGACAGTTGGAGAAGATTGGCAGAGACGTTTGGGTAGATTTGGGTACATTTGGAGGAGTGTTAGGGTAGATTGGGCAGGGCATGTAGGTAGGGTGGGAGGGAATCTTGAAGATTTTTTTTGTTTGCATTGGGAGATATATTTCGGCAACTTTCCCAGCGAAGACGGGGGCGGCGGTGGCAGCTTTGACGAAGGAAATTAATTGTGACGGAAAGTTTTAAAGTGGATAAAAGTAAAGAGATTCACTGTCCACATCTGGGGGCTAGAGGCCCCCAGCCGGACCCAATACCATAAGAGGCTTTCCAACCGGAAGACATCAACAAGATGGCGACGAGTGTTAGGAACCTGGAGTCTTACACGTGAATATCCAGGGAGTCTGGGTAGCCCAGGAGTGTCTGGAGACTGGGGTAGCCCAGGAGTGTCTGGAGACTGCGGTAGCCCAGGAGTGTCTGAAGACTGGGGTAGCCTAGGAGCGTCTGGAGACTGGGGTAACCCAGGAGTGTCTGGAGACTGGGGTAGCCCAGGAGCGTCTGGAGACTGGGGTAGACCGGGAGCGTCTGGAGACTGGGGTAACCCAGGAGTGTCTGGAGACTGGGGTAGCCTAGGAGCGTCTGGAGACTGGGGTAACCCAGGAGTGTCTGGAGACTGGGGTAGCCCAGGAGCGTCTGGAGACTGGGGTAACCCAGGAGTGTCTGGAGACTGGGGTAGCCCAGGAGTGTCTGGAGACGGGTAGACCGGGAGCGTCTGGAGACTGGGGTAGCCCGGGAGTGTCTGGAGACGGGTAGACCGGGAGCGTCTGGAGACTGGGGTAGCCCAGGAGTGTCTGGAGACTGGCGTAGCCCAGGAGTGTCTGGAGACTGGGGGAGCCCAGGAGTGTCTGGAGACTGGGGTAGACCGGGAGCGTCTGGAGACTGGGGTAGCCCTGGAGCGTCTGGAGACTGGGTAGCCCAGGAGTGTCTGGAGACTGGGGTAGCCCAGGAGTGTCTGGAGACTGGGTAGCCCAGGAGCGTCTGGAGGCTGGAGTAGCCCAGGAGCGTCTGGAGACTGGGGTAGCCCAGGAGCGTCTGGAGACTGGAGTAGCCCAGGAGCGTCTGGAGACTGGGGTAGCCCAGGACCGTCTGGAGACTGGGGTAGCCCAGGAGCGTCTGGAGACTGGGGTAGCCCAGGAGCGTCTGGAGACTGGGGTAGCCCAGGAGCGTCTGGAAACTGGGGTAGCCCAGGAGTGTCTGGAGTCTTGTAGCCTGGAAGAGGCTGTGAGAGGCACTAACCATAAGGCTGGCCTGGAGGTCACTGGGCGCTCACGAGTCCTCGAGGAGGATTAAGGAGAGCCTATTATACCAGGACAACACAATGGGGACTGACAGTCGACCGCCTGTCAGGGCAGACTTGAGTAATCTTCTTCCATCTTATTATCTGCCCTTTAGTGTGTATTTACTATTTGTGTCTGCAGAATCGAGCTATTAGCTCTTGGAACCCGCCTTTCTAACCAACTATTTTTTCTCTATTATGTCTACTACATATATTTCTCTCTAACACACACGCACGCGCACACACACACACGCGCACACACACACACACACACACACACACACACACACACACACACACACACACACACACACACACACACACACACACACACACACACGTACATACACACATTGTGTGACCGTTGAGAGACGGGACCAAAGAGCCAGAGCTCAACCCTCCAAGCACAACTAGGTAAGTATAGGAATGTACACATTCCTGCCTATTACGAAACGTCGTCGTCCCTTCACCTTCTAGTGTGTGGTATGGTCAACATACTTCAACCAGGTTATTGTGACTCCTCGCCTGCACAGGTAAAGCAACCTGTCCTCTTACAGAGAACGGCGCATGTCCTTTTCCCTCGTATGCGTTACATAATGTCAAAAAATTGTCGTAATAGAAAATGGAAGTGTTTTCTTGACGTCAGGAAACCTTAGGGCTGGTACAGCAGCCTGAACCTGCCTTGCGTGCCTCTGATCTAGCTTGGCTTGTGTTTATTTAGGGGGGAGAGTTTATGCGTGGCGCTGCACACCCAAGATAGGCTCTAACGTATGTTGTGTACATAGGGAAGGCCTTCCTCCCTAGCTTTCATAAAGTTATTCTTAACTTCTCCGGGAGAATGTGAACTTATCTAGTTGTGCTTGCGGGGGTTGAGCTTTGGCTCTTTGGTCCCGCCTCTCAACTTTCAATTGGTGTACAGGTTCCTGAGCCTACTGGGCTCTATCATATCTATATTTGAAACTGTGTATGGAGTCAGCCTCCACTACATCACTGCTCAATGCATTCCATCTGTTAACTACTCTGACACTAAAAAAGTTCTTTCTTACGTCCCTGTGGCTCATGTGGGTATTCAGTTTCCATCTGTCCCCTTGTTCGCGTACCACCCGTGTTAAACAGTTTATCCTTATCTACCCTGTCAATTCCTCTCAGAATTTTGTAGGTAGTGATCATGTCTCCCCTTACTCTTCAGTTTTCCAGTGTCGTGACATCCGCGATCAAATTCTGTTGTGACTTCATATATGACAGTTGTGTGTGTAAATGACTTCATATGTGACAGTCGTGTGTGTAAATGACTTCATATATGACAGTTGTGTGTGTAAATGACTTCATATGTGACAGTCGTGTGTGTAAATGACTTCATATGTGACAGTCGTGTGTGTAAATGACTTCATATGTGACTGTCGTGTGTAAATGACTTCATATGTGACTGTCGTGTGTGTAAATGACTTCATATGTGACAGTCGTGTGTGTAAATGACTTCATATGTGACAGTTGTGTGTGTAAATGGTGCTTCCACGGGGCTTTTATTCTGTAAATGTTCCGCCTACGACAGTTTATAATGCCCTGCTTTCTCCTCTACTCTCATATGTGCGTCAGTCAGTCAGTCAGTCAGGTTAAGCACCGATGAGTCTTGCCAGTAACTGGACCGGGGGACTGCCGGGATGGTCTAGGGCCTAGGCTAGACCATCCCGGCAGTCTTCGGCAAACCGGCATCCCGGTTTGGGTCTTCGCCGACCCAAACTTTGCCAGTAGAAAGCTAGGCATGAACCTCGTGCCCTGCCACCCCCTGCCAACCTCTGCCACCCCTTGTCAGCTCCTGCCAACCCCTGCCACCTGCAGACAAGTAATTCCTGCCCCCTTCTCCCCACTCCCAAAGAGAGAGGCTTCAGAAGGTCATATTATCCTTCCTACCGAGGAATTTTCCTCGCATTTTCAGTTGGGAGGCGACTATATCTTCCCTTCCAAAGAGTCTCTCTCCATCTTCACTATGGCGGCTAGTCCCTCCTCCAGGCCAGGGCTGGCGGCTAGTCCCTCCTCCAGGCCAGGGCTGGCAGCCCAACCCGTCCTCTTAAAAAGAACGTCACTTTTGGCTCATATGCGCACTATGGCCAAATTTGGACGTAATTTGAAATGAAATCGACTCACAAAAGTGACGTTCTGTTCCGTTTTCTATTTGAGTCGTCCGGCCTACGCGCAGAGGTTATAAGAGGACACTTTAAATTAACGTTTTTCATAACGTTTTGAAACTTTATGAGAATTTCCTGCCCACCTAACCTATCAGAGGACCCTTAACTTACTGTTGTTGAAAAAAAAATCCCAAATTTATTTTCATTTTTTTTTCATTTCCAAATTATGTCCAAATTCGGCCATACGGACAAACGGCCAAAAGCGACGTTCTTTTTAAGAGGACAGGTTGGCTGCTAGTCCCTCCTCCAGGCCAGGGCTGGTGGCTAGTCCCTCCTCCAGGCCAGGGCTGGCGGCTAGTCCCTCCTCCAGGCCAGGGCTGGCGGCTAGTCCCTCCTCCAGGCCAGAGCTGGTGGCTAGTCCCTCCTCCAGGCCAGGGCTGGTGGCTAGTCCCTCCTCCAGGCCAGGACTGGCGGCTAGTCCCTCCTCCAGGCCAGAGCTGGTGGCTAGTCCCTCCTCCAGGCCAGGGCTGGCGGCTAGTCCCTCCTCTAGGCCAGGGCTGGCGGCTAGTCCCTTCTCCAGGCCAGGGCTGGTGGCTAGTCCCTCCTCCAGGCCAGGGCTGGCGGCTAGTCCCTCCTCCAGGCCAGGGCTGGTGGCTAGTCCCTCCTCCAGGCCAGGGCTGGCGGCTAGTCCCTCCTCCAGGCCAGGGCTGGCGGCTAGTCCCTCCTCCAGGCCAGGGCTGGCGGCTGCCACCACCGGCTGAGCGCTTAAGCTCCTGGAACACATCACAAATGTAATACTTTTAGCAGCTCCAGAGTGGCTCAGAAGGTGATTGTCTGTCTGGAATTTTGTTACGACTTGACGGTAATAATTCCACGTCTGAATGTCCTGCGCGTTCTTATTTTATGACGCCGAAGATGGTTTGGACTTTAGGGAAGAGGTTCGGTGAAGGTGGCGGATGGTGTTAGTGTCAGCTGGGTGCCTTAGCACCGGTTGCTCCAGTGTGGGCTGGCCACACTCCCCCACACTACGCCCACCACCAGGCCGCCAGTGGCCCCAGGCCGCCCATGGCCCCAGGCTGCCCATGGCCCCAGGCCTCAACATGCCCCCTCCTAGGTGTGCCCCACACCCCCACCCTACCCCCAACCTGCCAATACTCACTCGCTGTCTCGCCTCTCCACTTCCCCGCACCACCTCACACACTCCCCATTTACACGCCTCTCTACATGCGCCTTCGTCTTATCCCGAGGCATTAAACCCACTTCTCTCCCCCAGGAGCCCTCCCCTTTCCCCCCTTCCCTCAGGAGCCCTTCCTTTCCCCCAGGAGCCCTCCCCAGGAAGGGAAAGCCCGCGCAGGAGCCGGGAGCGTCAAACACCACGCTTCCCGACGCTCACTTGCAGAATTTGTGTTTATGGTGTGACCTGAGCTGCCTCAGCCGGCCGTGGAGGGGGGGAGGGGGAAGGAGGGAGTGGTAGAGATGGAGAGATAGAGATGGAGGAAGAATGAAGGAAGATGGAGGGAGGAAAAGACCTGAAAATATACGCGAACGGAAGTAATTTGTTGCGATGAAAGAGAAAGAGGGGAAATTCTGTATAAAGCAAATCTAAATGGTGAAGTTTTAGAAGTGATCGCTGGACTAAAATACCTTGGAGGTGATGCTGAGTGACTTACAGGGGTTCCGGGACGATAGTGGAGCAAGAGCGGGAAAAGTCAAGATAAGCCGTAGGTATGAGCACTCAGAGCAGCATATCCGGTGCCAGGAGAGCACATGAGACTCGGGCAGGCAAGTGGCAGGAGGTAGAGACGCTGAGTGTCTTCACAGAAAGAGCGGCCATGGTGAACGAGTCCATGTTGATACACTGGTGAAGAGAATATATCCAAGTGAATTTGATGGGAGGAGATTAAGGCCGAGAAGCAGGGAGTGGGTCTGCTGGAGCCTTCCAGAAGGCATTCCAGCTCTCTCACGTCTTTTGGAGTCTTCCAGGAGACATTCCAGCTCTCTCATGTCTGCTGGAGCCTTCCAGGAGACATTCCAGTTCTCTCATATCTGCTGGAGTCTTCCAGGAGACATTCCAGCTCTTTCACGTCTGCTGGAGTCTTCCAGGAGACATTCCAGCTCTTTCACGTCTGCTGGAGTCTTCCAGGAGACATTCCAGCTCTCTCACGTCTGCTGGAGCCTTCCAGGAGACATTCCAGTTCTCTCATATCTGCTGGAGTCTTCCAGGAGACATTCCAGCTCTTTCACGTCTGCTGGAGTCTTCCAGGAGACATTCCAGCTCTCTCACGTCTGCTGGAGTCTTCCAGGAGACATTCCAGCTCTCTCACGTCTGCTGGAGCCTTCCAGGAGGCATTCCAGTTCTCTCATGTCTGCTGGAGTCTTCCAGGAGACATTCCAGCTCTTTCACGTCTGCTGGAGTCTTCCAGGAGACATTCCAGCTCTCTCATGTCTGCTGGAGCCTTCCAGGAGACATTCCAGCTCTCTCACGTCTGCTGGAGTCTTCCAGGAGACATTCCAGCTCTCTCACGTCTGCTGGAGCCTTCCAGGAGGCATTCCAGTTCTCTCATGTCTGCTGGAGTCTTCCAGGAGACATTCCAGCTCTTTCACGTCTGCTGGAGTCTTCCAGGAGACATTCCAGCTCTGTCATGTCTGCTGGAGTCTTCCAGGAGACATTCCAGCTCTCTCACGTCTGCTGGAGTCTTCCAGGAGACATTCCGGTTCTTTTATTGCTATGGTTGTCTTTTGACCCTCGGTGTGCTCACCTATTTGTGCCTTTAGGATCGAGCTTTCAGCTCTTGGGTCCCGCTTTTACAACCGATGGTTGGCGGCTTCTGATCTATTGTTTTCTATCTTATCTACTAGGTCACCTACTGACCCCGCCCCCATCATGCAACCCCCCACCACCAGCTGTATAACTCCCAGGAACATACTTACTGTTAGGTGAACAGAGATATCAGGTGAATGAAAACGTTTCCCAAAAGGTTCTGTCATTCCGCGGGGATCGAACCCTTTATCCCTGTTTGTGAGTCACCAAATTTGACCACTTTGTGTGTTCGCGTGGGCGTGCGTGCGCGCGTGTTCCTCTTTACCTTACTTTCCCTTGGGATCTCGCACGTCGTTATCATATCTCCCCTTCTCTCCTTTTGTATAAAGAAGTCCATTTCCTTCAGTCTTTTTCTGGTATGTTAGTTCCCCTCTTAAACCAGCCGTGTTATATATATATATATATATATATATATATATATATATATATATATATAATTATATATTTTTTTGTTAATATTTTATGGTTTTGTTTTGTGCATTTGTTCGGTTATTTGACTCAAGGCGGGGCTGCATACTCATCAGTGTGTCTCATGTACGTTGTATAGAACACTCAGAAGACTTGTCTGACGCTTGCTAGCCCAGTGCTGTTATGCTAATGTGTCTGACATTACCTTTATGGTAATGTTTATCACCAGACACCGCAGGCACCTCGTGTGTGTCGAGCTGGCACTCTGCTGTCGAATTGGCACTCTGCTGTCGAGCAGACACTCTACACCGGCACATTTGATGTAAACTTGTAAACACACAACTTGCCAAGAAACAACTGAAACAACCAAGTTACCTTTATGCTCATTCTAAAATAGGGACCATATATATATATATATATAAATACTTTCACTCGATACGGATGTAACTACCCTCAAATTATAAGTGGAAACTTTGAACTTTTAACCTCTTAGACATTGTTTCATGACTAAGACAAGCACTATTGTGTCACTGTCCATGTGCTTAGGGGCAGCACTGTACGTCAAGTGAGGTACTGGGGCCGCCACCATAGACATTCTGCCATTTCAAGAATATGGTGAAAATTTTCAAGAATATGGTGAACATTTCAAGAATATGGTGAAAATTTCAAGAATGTGGTGAAAATTTTCAAGAATATGGTGAAAATGTTCAAGAATATAGTGAAAAAATTCAAGAATATGATGAAAAATTTCAAGAATATGGTGAAAATTTCAAGAATATGGTGAGAATTTTCAAGAATATGGTAAAAATTTCAATAATGTGGTGAAAATTATCAAGAATATGGTGAAAATGTTCATGAATATAGTGAAAAATTCAAGAATATGATGAAAAATTTCAAGAATATGGTGAAAATTTCAAGAATATGGTGAAAATTTTCAAGAATATGGTGAAAAATTTCAAGAATGTGGTGAAAATTTTCAAGAATATGGTGAAAATGTTCAAGAATATAGTGAAAAAAATCAAGAATATGATGAAAAATTTCAAGAATATGGTGAAAAATTTAAAGAATATGGTGAACAATTTCAAGAATATGGTGAAAATTTTCAAGAATATGGTGAAAAATTTCAAGAATGTGGTGAAAATTTTCAAGAATATGGTGAAAATGTTCAAGAATATGGTGAAAATTTTCAAGAATATGGTGAAAAAATTCAAGAATGTGGTGAAAATTTCAAGAATATGCTGAAAAATATGAAGAATATAGTGGAATTTTTCAAGAATATCGTGAAAATTTACTACTATCGGGACGACCACCAACAGGGGGCGGACAACTAATCATGCTCACAGACCGCCTGCCCCCCCCCCCCCCCCCCGCCTCACAGCGACTGCATTTCATTACATGTTTTGTTTGCAATGTTAAACGTTTTTGTTTGCTCTAATATAATTTTTTGTTTGATGTCATAATTCAGTTTGTTTTTACCCCCGTATTGGCAGTATGGTTACTTTATCTGCGTTCGGACGTGTTTGTTGTTTGGTAACGAGAGTTGGAGAATATTGGTAGGTGGACGCACACACGTACACACACACACACACACACACACACACACACACACACACACACACACACACACACACACACACACACACACATTAGGAAGTGATGTGGTGGAGGCTGACTCCATACACAGTTTCAAGTGTAGATATGATACAGCCCAGTAGGCTCAGGAATCTGTACACCTGTTGATTGACGGTTGAGAGGCGGAACCAAAGAGCCAGAGCTCAACCCCCGCAAACACAACTAGGTGAGTACTAGCTGAGTACACACACACACACACACACACACACACACATGGGGGGCCTCGTAGCCTGGTGGATAGCGCGCAGGACTCGTAATTCTGTGGCGCGGGTTCGATTCCCGCACGAGGCAGAAACAAATGGGCAAAGTTTCTTTCACCCTAAGTGCCCCTGTTACCTAGCAGTAAATAGGTACCTAGGAGTTAGTCAGCTGTCACGGGCTGCTTCCTGGGGTGTGTGTGTGTGTGTGTGTGGTGTGGGGGAAAAAAAAGAAAAAAAAGTAGTTAGTAAACAGTTGATTGACAGTTGACAGGCGGGCCGAAAGAGCAAAGCTCAACCCCCGCAAAAACACAACTAGTAAACACACACACACACACACACACACACACACACACACACACACACACACACACACACACACACACACACACACACACAGGAAAGGTGCTCCAGTGACTAAAGGAGTACCTAAGCGACAGAAGACAGCGAGTTACTGTGAAAGGCGAGATCTCAGAGTGACGAGATGTCACTAGCTGAGTGACATCTCGACATCCACTTCCACGAGTGACATCTCGACATCCACTTCCACGAGTGACATCTCGACATCCACTTCCACCAGTGACATCTCGACATCCACTTCCACCAGTGACATCTCGACATCCACTTCCACGAGTGACATCTCGACATCCACTTCCACGAGTGACATCTCGACATCCACTTCCACCAGTGACATCTCGATATCCACTTCCACCAGTGACATCTCGA